AAATGAGGAGCTGATATCAAGGGCTCAAGTAGAAAGCAAATGTTTTGAGAATGATGATGGCAACAAATGTACAAATGTGTTTGGCACAATGGATGTATGTATGGATTGTAATGAGTTGTATGAGCCCCCAATAAAATGATTTTTTTTAAAAAGATGTCCCTATATCAGTAATGGTATTTTCAATCACTTCATATGCATCTGAAAGCAGGTAATAAATAAGGAAGACCAAAGGATAATTGGTGCATTTGAACTAGGGTGCTGGTGAAGAATACAGAATTTACCATGGATAGCAGCAGCAGAAGGAAAATCTGTCTTGGAAGAAGTACAACCAGAATGCTCCTTAGAAGTGAGGTCGGGTAGACTTTCTTTGGACATGTTATCAGCAGAGAAAAGTTCCTGGAGAAGGATATCATGACTGGTGAAGCAGAGGGTCTGAGAAAAAGAAGATCCAAGGTAAGATGGACTCACTGATACAATGGTTGCAACAGTGAGCGAAAACGAAGCAATGGTTGTGAGTATAGTTCAGGACTGGGCAGAGTTACATTTTGTTACATCTGAATCCGAACCCACTGAAAGTTGTTATGAAATATATTGATCACAGTAGCAGAGAGAACATAGTTTATTTGCAATTTGCTGTCTTTGTTTATAACTTTTAATATGTATGTGGATGATACTATACCCTCCACTATATTCTTGCCTTAGAATTGAAAAATATGAGGGGAAAGTTAAGAAATTTTTATAATTTTACATCGCTACCTTTTAAGAGTTTCATATTTCTTACTCCTGATCAATTTACTAAATTTGTCACACTTATCATCTAAGCCGGGAGAAAGAGAAGGCTTTCTACTCCCACAGATGCAGTTTTGGAAACCCACAGGGGCAGCCCTACCCTGTCCTACTGAGTGGCTGTGAGATGTAATCCACTTGATGGCAGTGAGAGTGAGAACCATGTAAGCAAGAAGGCCTGGGGCACTATTAACTGTTGGATTGCTAAGGTTATAAATGCAAGCCTGCCAGCCACTTCTCTGAAGAAAATGAGCCTATTGGCTTACTATGAGTCAGAATTGATTTGATGGCAGTAAGGTTTTGTTTTTATTAGGTAGATGTGAAATTAATGACTATGAAAATAAATCAAAAGAAGTAAACCAGAAGTGACTAAAGAAACTATAGTTTTTCCCTGTTCTGTGCATAACAGTTGTCTTTCTTTATTTTTTTAATCGTTTTATTGGGGGCTCATACAACTCATCACAATCCATACAGACATCAATTGCATAAAGTACATTTGTACATTCGTTACCCTCATCATTCTCAAAACATTTGGTCTCCACGTAAGCCCCTGGCATCAACTTCTCACTTTTCCCTCTCCCTCCCGGCTCCCCCCTCCCTCATGAACCCTTGATAATTTATAAATTATTATTTTGTCATATCTTACACTGTCCAACGTCTAACTGTTGTCTTTCTTAAGGAAGCTGTTTTCCCAAAGTATTGATAATATTTTGCTCCCTTGAAGCAAGAACGCTTTGTTGACACTATGCTCCCTTGATCCAAGAACACTTTGTTCTATTAACCTGGCATCCCATGATGCTCACCTTCCTGACTCGCTGAAGACAAAGCGGGTGCATAGCAAACGTGGTAAAGAAAGTTGATGGTGGCTCTCCCTCTCTCTCAGCTCCTCCCTTGACCTCTCATTGGCTCCCTCTCCTCCCCTGTTCCTGTCCCCTTAGAATTAAAAAAAAAAAAAAGGTGATGGTGTCTGGCTATCAAAAGATATGGCTTCTGGGATCTTAAAGGCTTGAAGATAAACAATCGGCTATCTATCTCCGAAGCAACAGAGCGCACATGGAAGAAGCACACCAGCCTGTGTGATCACGAGGAGTCGAAGGGGTCAGGTATCGGGCATCAAAGAACAAAAAAATCATATTATTGAGAATGAGGGACAGTGCAGACAACTGGACATCTTCTTATAGAAGGGTTTCTGGGAGGAGATGAGCCAATCAGGGTGCAGTGTAGCAATGATGAAACATACAACTTTCCTCTAGTTCTTAAATGCTTCCTCACCCCCACTATCACGATCCCAATTCTACCTTAGAAACCAGGCTAGACCAGAGGATGTATACTGGTACAGATAGGAACTGCAAACACAGGGAATCCAGGACAGATGATTCCTTCAGGACCAGTGCTGATAGTGGCGATACTGGGAGGGTGGAGGGCAGGTGGGGTAGAAAGGGGGAACTGATCACAAGGATCTACATATAACCCCCTCCCTAGAGGACAGACAACAGAAAAGTGGGTAAAGGGAGACGTCGGACAGTGTAGGACAAGACAAAACAATAATAATTTATAAATTATCAAGGGTTTAACAGGGAGGGAGGGGAAAAATGAGGAGCTGATACCAAGGGCTCAAGTAGAAAGTAAATATAGGCCTTCCATGATTGTAAATCTCGCAGAAGCAGCTTTTCTCTTCTTTCTCCATCAATGGAGTTGCCAATCTTGCGATTAGCAGCCCCAAATGCCTAACCTAACCTCAGCACAAAATCTCAGCTCCATTAGTATCCTGGATAGAAGGCCAGGATTCTACCATGGGATACTGTAGTGATAGCCTTGCCATTTTACATGTGTGGAGACAGGCTTCAGAAAGGATAGTCATTTCTGAGTGTACACACTTCAACTCTACAGGATCTTTGGAGCATTGTCCATTTGAAGTAGAACTGTACAAGAACATGCCTGCTTCAGGAACAAGTTGCTGGCTACTTTTCACTCTCCATCATATATGAAGCTATCTGCAATACGAACCTGCCCCTTCTGTTATTTAGATGTTTTTTTACTGAAGTAACAAATACAAGGGACGTAGGATTTCATTCAATCAAAAGTATAACAAGTTTTATGAAGTGAATAAATATTACAAGTATAGTTCTAATTTTTTAAACATAAGGATAGAATGAACCTTACTACAGGCACTTAGAATACGTTGTTGTGCAGATGACTATTATTATGAGCCTGAGGAATGTAAACTTGTGATTTCCACACTGGGCAGTTGCCCAGGCAACAGAGAACCTTGATTACCAGTCCAGTTTAAAAAACCAGTTCAAAAGGGTGGGAGGGTGAGGTAAAAAGAGCTGATACCAAAGGCTCAAGTAGAAAGACAATGTTTTGAAAACGATGATGCAACATATGAATAAATATGCTTGATTCAATCGAGCTATAAGAACCCCAAGAAAATAATTTTTAAAAATAAATAAATAAATAACCAGTTCGGAACTCCACAAAAAATTAGTTATGGTTCTGTCCAACCAGTGCGAACCGGCTGAGTCCCACCACTGAGTTGAATGCGAAAGACAAAAATGAAGTGGATTGTTCCTGCCTAATTCCCGTTGTCACCTGAGATTTCGTTGCCTATGGTTAGGCATTGGGCTGCTAACTGCCCGGTCAGCAATTTGAAACCAGCAGCAGCTCGTGGTAGAAAGACAAGGCTTTCTACTTCCTTAAAGTTAGTAAACACACAGGGGCAGTTTTACCCTGCCCTAGGTGGTCGCCCCGAGTCAAAATGAACTACAAGGCAGTGCGTTTGTTTTTGGTCATGCCCGTTCTCTACCCAGAGGGGATTAGGAACCAGTTTAGAGTTGAAGTTCCTCAAGGTCTGTCCTCAAAGAAGCACCCCATCAGGGCGACTGGTGAAGGGTGCCGAGGAAGAAGAGGAGCAGGAGCCGGGTTCCCAGCCGGGAGCGGCGGTTCGCAGTCCTGCACAGCTGCCGGCCCCGCCCATCATAGCGCCTCGCCCCGCCCCCTCCAGCCACAACGCCCCGCCCTGCCCCGCTC